CTATTCTATGCAACGGCCTATCTTTATGGTTTATCTCGAGATTTGTGGGTTTTTTGTTGCCTTACTAAATTTTTCTCTCTGCCTCTAGGCGTTTGATTATGAAAATTATGAAATGACTCTTTAACTCAATAGAATATAAAGACTGGAAACAAACCATTAGTAAAAAGCTAAAAAGTCATAGATTCAGAATAAATAAACACTCTCTCCAGCAAAACCGATCACTTAACCGGTTTTTGAATCAGCAACACAAAAAAACACAATCCTTTGTTGTACCAAAAGAAACCGCAGCTTTGATGAGTAAGCCAAAGAGACCAAAAGGGTTAGAGAAGAAAGGAGAATGGTCACTATCCAGCTCGTGAGCTTGGTTCGGTGGCCACCTTCTAACCATCGCGTCTTGCTGCTCTGGTTTTATGACCCGGTCGTGCATAGTCTTGATGTACACGCGTGGCACGTGCGCCATTTCTTCCTCTTGTCCTTTTTCATGTTCTTCAACTTTTGCTGTTGTGAGCGCTAGCAGTGGAGCTGGTCTCATCATTAATGCAGCCAATGCACATTCCTTGACACCAAAAAGAAGAAGAAGAAAACAGAGTATAAGGACAACAAATTTGGATTGTGTAAAATATCTGTAATATTTGATTTGATTTGTTATCCACTCCAATTCGAATATATAACATCCGGACAAGCATAAAATTTTTTATTTTTTTTCCAGAGACAAATATACTTCTTCTTTTTCTTTTTTATATATAACAAACACACCATATATATAGTAATCTCTAGATCATGCCAATAGGTTTAGTCTTGGAAGATAGCTATTTTGGCACCAAATGGTTTACATGGAATAAGATAGAACTTTTTGTTCGTGTTCCTTTTGCAAAGTAGTTGGTACAGACATTTAAAACTCATGGTATTAAGTCTAAAAAAAATAATCTAAAAGGGCATTAAACTTGACCAAACCCAAATCTACGTAAAGTAGACAAAATCACAAAATTTCATACTTTAAAATATGGAAACTAGGAATTGCCCACGCGTTGCGTGGGTTTAAAAATAAATATTGTATAATATGCAATAATTTCTAGTTTATTGACGAATTGTGTATTGAATTTTACATAAATCTGATGTTTATAGTAAATAATTACCTAGATTAGAAGATTAAACACTTGTAGCAAATTATTGGACATATATACTGTTATATGAAAAAGAAATAGACCTTTCATATAACTACAACATATAGAAGACATCTTCTTTGGCACAAGTCTCTAACTTGTATGTCTTCATCAGTATTCACTATGATTCCCTAAAAAATGATTTATTGTCTTTTGTCTTCCATCAAACACATTTATAAAAAAAATTATTAATTAGAGAAGTTGTAATATGATTTTGATTTACCTTGACATTTGCATCATCTCAACAAAGATGTTGGAATGTATCTTTGTGTTTATTTCAATGAAACTTTGAATCGTATTGAGAAAATAATTGATGCTTTATTGTATTTTTGTTTTATTCTCTTTATCGTTTTGTTATGATTTTTTTTTTTATCTTTAACATCGATTCATTGGTGAAGTGATTCTGTTTTTATAGATTCACAATTTGTGATGGATTAAGGTTTTTTCAAGAGTGTTGGATAGAAGTGTTATGTCCACTACAAATTGTATTAATTTCATCAAGGGGATAGTTAGGATTTTGGCTTTAGAAGGGGTGAAGACTAAAAAAAATTAATTATGAATATCTCCAATTAGACTTTAACAATCTTAAAAATCTTAAAATCATATCTTAATTTTTTCACAGCATTTTTTTTGTTTGTGTTCATGTTAGGTTTCTTTTTATCGAAATTTCTCTTTTGTGACTTTTTAGAAAACAAAATCACAATTACGTATGTAAAAATAAAAGTCTTAAACATTTGTTGTATATTATACTGTTGGATTTAACAAATAAAATAACTATTTTTTAAACCATTAGAAATTCATAATAACACATTTAATATTGAAATTAGACATTAAATTGTTGGAATTAATTGTCAAGTTATTAACACAAAATTTTCATTTTTCTTTTCAATAGATAATTCAAATGCCAAAAGAATGGGTACCACATGGCAACATCTCATAACTTTGGTTATGAAGAACCTTAAAATATTAAATTATTAGAATTAATTGTCAAGTTATTAACACAAAATTTTTATTTTTATTTTTAATAGATAATTCAAATGCCAAATACCAAAAAAATGGGTGCTACATGGCAATCTCTTATAACTTTGGTTTTGAATAACATTAAAATATTATATAAGATCGTTCACTTTGG